GTACAAATCCAAGGCCGGCCATGACTCCCATGTGCGGTCAGAACACGCGGCCTCGGTGAGCCCCCCGGATGCCTCCACAGCCCGAGGAGCGGGGCCGTCCCCCCCCGGGGGTGACTGCAGAGCTGCAGAGCCTGTGGGCCGGACAGAGCCGGGCAGGGCCGGGCCGGGCAAGGCAGGTGCAGACGTCGGACCGATGTTGTTTTCTCCTTCCCATCACCACGCGCGTGTCTTGTACCATGCAGTGTCAGGGGGGAATGACCTGCAGCTCCCTCCACCCTTCCGAAAAAGCGAGGAGCTGTGTTTATGGGAGCAGAGCGGTCGGCAGCGTTCCCTTTCCCTGGTGCCTGCGGGTCTGTGCTCCAGCCCACCCTGCATCCATGCTCTGCAGGGAAATAAACAGAGCTCAGACCGCTCCCTCGGCAGCAAACAAGCGCTGGCTGCTCGCCAGCGCTGGGGTGGCAGGATCTGTCCCTGGGGAGCATCCTTTTCTGTTCTGTTGATCCCTACTGACAGTGCATCCGATACTAATAACTCCCTAACTCTAATAAACGGAGATGTTTATACACATGGGAGCACGAACGGACGCAGTCAGCCCGACGCGTGTTTGTCTGCTGGGCTGCGGGAGGAGGCGGGTGCTCCCCTCGTTCCCGTGCTCGGTGCAGAGGCACGCTGATGTCTCTGCAGCCCCCAACCTGCACCAAGCAGGTGTGCAAACCCACAACCCAAACCCCAGCATCAGCCCCGTTCTGGAGCGAGGGACCTCGCTGCTTCACCCCTCGTCATCCCGTTCCTGACTCTGTCTCTCTTGCAGCCTCCGGAGGAGCCAGAGGTGAAGCCGGAGCCCAACCCTGTAGAAGATTTCGAAAGGACCCCAAGTGGCCGCATCCGTCGGACGTCGGCCCAAGTAGCCGTCTTCCACCTTCAGGAGATAGCGGAGGACGAGCTCGCCAAGGATTGGACCAAGCGGAGGATGAAGGATGACCTGGTGCCTGAAACGAAGCGGGTGAGCAGCCTTATTTCTCCTTTTTTTGGTGTGCTAGCTGTACACAGAGATCTTGGGACGCCAGCGTGGCCCCAGCTGGCTGAGGGCTGGCGTGTCTCGTTTTCTGTGTTAGATTAATTAGCTGTGATGGCAAATCCGTTGCGCAAGAGCCCACCCAGCACAGGCTGGGCCCCAGTGGTCGGGAGGCTCCGTACGAGCCTGGCAGAAGGCAGCTTTGCCCTCTCTACTGCTGGCACCCGAATCTAAACAGGGCAAAAGGTGGTGCTTTGTGGGCAGTGGGGAGATCAGAGTCCAGCCCGGAGGGTGTTGTGGAGGGAGGTCAGTTCTGGTCCGTGCTCAGCGGTGCGGTGGGGCTGGCAGCCAAGAGGAGCACGTGGAGAGAGCAGAGGTTGGATCTGGAGTGATCTCCCTTGCGCTGTCAGAGAGTAAAGCTGCCCCGGGTGGAATTTCCTCCCTTCCGTGGCTCTTCCTGAATTTCTGGGAGATGCTTCTCTGGAGGCAAAG